TCCCTCCACAGGACCTGGACGGTCCCTCCACAGGACCTGGGCGGTCTCTCCACCGGACCTGGGCTCTCCCTCCACAGGACCTGGGCTGTCCCTCCACAGGACCTGGACGGTCCCTCCACAGGACCTGGACGGTCCCTGGCGAATGATCCCTTTGTTCTGCTGCCAGCTGCCCCTCCTTCCCAAGTAAGGACGGTTGGTTCATGTCCTCTTAAAAGCCACCACCTCCGCCCTCACGTCCCACCTGGTGGAGGCAGTACTTCTCTCCTTCCATGTTTGTTTTTTTTAGCCCTCTTTCTCCTCCACCCCACCATCTGGTTTCTGGTCCCCACCCTAATGCGGCAAACATCCCCAAGGCCAGGTTTCTGTGGGAGGGAGGCATGGCACCCAGAGATACCACCCTGGCAAACCACAGAAACGGAAATGTCCTGCCTCCCAGTCCTGGGCTCCGCAAGTTCACACGGGGTGCCGGCCATGAGGGCTGTCTGAGGGTCCGCTAGCTCTGGGTGCTTCCAACCCCGCCTCCATCTCACAGCCTCCTCGCTCTCTGGCCCCCATTTCCTCTCAAGTTGAGGGTGCCCTCAGATGAGATTGGCGGTCGCCCAGCTGTACTGTGACCTCGTGTGAATGCAACTGGTGATTGACTATTCCATCGACTGCTTGGTTTTAACTGTCCCCCAGTCCTGCCCCTTCTGCAAAAGTGCCCAAGTCTCCTGAGGGTGCTTCCCGTAGATCCGTGCAATTGACAGGTTTGAAGGCCACGCAGCCTGTCATGTGGGCCCCACGCTGAGCCCAGTGTGTTCCCAGTCTTTCTAATTTCCACTGCTTGCATTGTGTCTCGAGGCGGCATTGACCCCAGGGCTCACAGTGAGGATGGTACTCCCCATGGAGAGTTACAGCGTCAGGAACCAGGGCCAGCCCTGCCTGTGCAGCAGGTCACCATGGGTCGGCATCGCCTCGACCACAGTGGGCGTGCATGTTCGCTGGACAGGTTTCCCAAAGGGACCCCGTTGGTACCATGCACGGATGTGGGATTTCCCAGCAAGCTCACGTCCACAAGGACAGGCGCGTGAGGACCCCCATGGGTCTCCTGAGGACCCCCGGAGTAGGTCCCACTTCCCTGCACAGAAGCCTTGCCCTCCCGAGCTGACACCAAGTGGGGCACCGTCCTGCTCGCCCAGCCTGCACCTTTGCAACTTCACATGCCCGACGTACAGCTCCTGCTGGGAAAGGTCTTCCTGGGCCGGGGCTGAGGCTGTGCGTAGGGGCCCTGCCTCAGACTCCACTGTCCTCACAATGGCTGCGGGGCCTGGGACCACTGTCCGGCCACTGTGTCCTTACCTCGCCGAGGGCTTCCTCCCTGCCACAGGCCCGAGACCTTCCCAGGTGTGACCGAAGGGCCACCCTCTCTGGCTGGAGTGTTCGCTGTGACGGCCAGCAGGTCCTCAGCACCCCATCTCCCTCCCTCTCTTCACTTGCTCTCATGCCCCGCCCAGCACATCCTGCTTGCTGCCTTCTAGAATCTACCGCTTTTCAGGGTTTCTGACCTGCGAACTCAGACCCTCTGACCCAGCAACTGCCTCGGGGCTCAAAACCAGAGAAACCACACTCACGGCCAAGGAGTCGACCAACACAGTGACCCTGGAGGTCAGGATGGGCCTGCCCCTAGAATGTCCGGAGGCAACTCTGCACGCCAAGTAGTCCTCACCTTTGTCCTGTGGAGCGGCTGGTGGATTCAAAGGGCTGACCTTGCGGCTAGCTGCCTAACACATCACCCTCTCAGGACACCTGGGAAAGTGTGAAATGCCGCGTGAAAGATGGTTCAGACCCAGGAGGACACCAGACAAGCAGAACTGCCCACTCTCCCTCCAGTGAGACTCTGTTTAAACAACTCTATGTAAAGCGAAGCGTGGGGGCGGGGTCCTTCCCAGGAGGCATGTCCTCAGGCTACAGAAGGAAATCACTGCACACACACACACACACACACACACACACACACACACACACACGGGTTTCCCGGCCTAAAGTTGCTCCTCTGGGTGTGTGCCTCCCTGCTACCAGAAGCGGGCGTTCCAAATCCACGGCCACTCTCATGGAGAAACTGGAGAACAAGAGCCCGGGGACCCCGAAGACGCAGGGACACCCCAGACAGGCTCGGCCCACAGCCCGCAGCAGCAGCAGGGCGGACCAGACCAAGGCTGACCCTGCGGCCTGTGGGACATTCCGAGAAGGTCTCTGTGGCAGGAGCGGAAGGCCCAGGCTTTCCCCTGGAGCTGCGGGTGGTTCCCAACTGCCCACCCTGCGGATGGCAGCCAGGGTGCACCCCCTATACCCACTGCACCCCGACAATCTGGGCGGAGTGTAAGGAACTGGGGAAAGATGAGTTCACCTATCCCAGAGAAGCCCAGGGAGGGCAGCTAGTGCTGAGCGCTCCTAAGAGATTGGTGGTCCCAGCCCCGCCCCCCACCCTTGGGAAGGCAGGAGGGGGGGGGTCTGCTTTGCATGCACCACGGGTAGGCCGTGGGAGGGGGCTGACTGAGGACAGCAGGGCAGTGACTGAACAGGATGCTAACTGAGCGCAGTAGGGGCAGTGACTGGACACAGGGTCAGGATGCTGACGGACTGAGTGCAGCAGGGCAGTGACTGGACACAGGGTCAGGATGCTGACTGATTCAGTACACCAGGGCAGTGACTGGACACAGGGTCAGGATGCTGACGGACTGAGTGCAGTAGGGCAGTGACTGGACACAGGGGTCAGAATAACACTAACAAGCAAGCAGACACGCCCTGTCTCTGATCTTAAGGAAGGACTGACCTCCAGCACCCGGGTGAGCCACTGAGGGCTGGCCCCACTGAGCCTTACCCTGACCCCTTGGTGGAACTGGGCGTTCTCAGGGAAAAGACCACCTTGGGGACGGCCATCGGGCAAACAGTGCGGTGCACACTGCGCAGCCCACGGTCCCCTCGGGAAGGCGGTGGGCCGTGCTGGGCGCTGAGGGGTGCGTGCAGGAGAACACGGTGTGGTCCATCTCCAGTCACAGGTCTGTCTCTTCCTTCAAAGAGCGCTTTCTCAAGAGCTGAGACTCCTCAGAGGGACGGGACCGGCTGAGCAGGTAAGGGCTGAGGGACACAAGGCCTCTCTGGACCCGGTGCTGAGGGAGGCCCTCGGTGCTAGCACTGGGATGGGGGGTGGGGGTGGGTTGTGGGGTGCAGGATTCTGTGTTGGGTGTGGGGTTTGCTGCTCGTTTGTGTGTGTGTTGGTGTGTATGTTTGTTTGGGGGCGGGGGCAGTGATGCCGGCCCTGTGACCCCTGGTCTGTGATAGACAGCAGACCCGGCAGGTAAGGGAGGTGCTGCAGTCCCTCTGGGCGGAGGCGCTGAGGTGAAGGCTTGTCCACACAGACCAGCGGTCGTGGGCGATGGGCGCTTGCTCTCCTTTCGACTTTGCAGTTTGGAAATACCAAGGCGAAGGGTGCATACTTGCCGAGTGAACTGGTACCATAATAGCAGAGGTGCTTCGGTGGTCTGTCTACCCCCAACGCCACGCCCCACCCACCCATGTGGTGGGAGCTCAGTTCCCACAGGGACAAATGCCCAGACTCTCTCCAGGAGGACATGTCTGCGCGGGTCAGGGAGGGAGGGCACACTGACTCACAAGACAGATCTGGGCAGACGCTTGGACCCAAACCCTCGCCTGCCCGATGCCCACGACAGGGATGAAGAAGAGCTCTGTAGTCAGAGCAGGGCTTCAAGGGACACCAAGAGCACTGGGTGTCAGTTTCACCTGGTACTGCTGTCACCTGTGGGTCACCTGTGGGTCACGCCTGGATGGCCCAGGGCCCACAGGTGACCCCATGTGTCAGAGAAGCCTGGGCTCCAGGGTCTTTGAGAAGCAGGGGCAGCCTTCTTCCGAGGTGCCTCTGGGCGGTCCCAGCCTTAACACCATGTGGGCAGCAGTCAGCGTTTAAACACTGGCACCACACAGGGTCTCCATATCAGACCATGAGTCAAGAGTCAAGGCAATAGTAAGCTCCCTGCTAGGCTGACTCCCATCGCCACAGCGGGACAGGACGGAGGAGCGGCCCCACAGGCTTCCTAAGACCCTAAGGGACAGGGTGGAGGAGCGGACCCACAGATTTCTGTGGGTGGACCCTCTAGGAAGCAGACAGCCTCATCTTCCTCCTTTGCAGGAGCCAATGGGCTAGAACTGCCCACCTTCCTACCAGCAGTCCTGGGGGTCCGTCCGACTCCCAGGGACCATGCAGGATGGCTCTTGCACCATGTGGCTCTGTCCCAGGACAGAGTCCGCAGTACTCGCTAAACTGCCTGGATCAAGGGGCTCCCTCCCATAACAGCCCTGCCTCGGGTGGTCAGTTTGTGGAATGTTTGCTGGGACGGGGCTGGAACTTCCACATCTACATCCCAGCACCTGCGAAACAAGGTTTACAGCCCCCCAGCACCGGGAGCTGCCCCTCACAGAGCACAGAGCTCCGTCCCAGGCAGCCACCTACCTGTGTAGGGGATGACTGGGTGCTCGGTGCGCTGGCAGTCAGACGAATCTCCCGCTGTCAGCTGGCCGACCCGCCATGCACCCAAGCTGGACACCAGCCAGGCCAGGAAGCCAGGGCCCCTCATGGTGCAGGGTGGGCGGCAGGCGGACCAGGCGCTCGGTGCCCTCTAGCCAGCAGCTCGCCGTCCTGTCATGGGTGGGACATGCCTGGAACACAGGGGAGGGGCTCAGTCAGCACCCTGCAGGCCAAGTCATCCTGGGAGCACCCAGCCCCCACTCACCAAAGGAGCAGCCCGGCCTCCCCCCACCCCCCAAGAAGCTGTAGCACCCCCACTCCTGACAGCCAGATTTCCCCCACCCCCCAGTCCGCTCACAGCGCCCCTATGGAACGGCCGCTATGGATCTCCAAGGCTGGGACTCGTTACAGGAGCAGAAAGCCCCCTCTTCCTCCCAAGGAGCTGCTGGCGTGTCCGAACCACGGACGTGCTCACGTGAGCAACTTAATGCTGAGCCACGGTGCCACTGCACCCCAAGGCCATCCTGGAAACCGAGGCTCCGACCGCACGTGTGTGAACATCTCCTTTCCTTTAAAAATGTTCTATTCTTAAAAAAAATTCTATTCTTTCTAAGGCCACAACCGCCCCTTGCAAGAGAGCTCCCCGGGCCTTTCAAGCCCACGAGTGTCAGGGACAGGGTGCACGTCAGTTCTCCGGCTGTGTCTGGGAGACAGCATCTCTGAGGAAGGCCTTCAGTCAAGAGCACACGAAGCCCTTCCTCCCAGCACCGCTGGGGGCGGATGTTGGACAGAAGCTCCCTCCCAGCAGGGAGATTTCTCAAGACCATCTGGGGACACAGCACAGGCGTTTGTCACCATAATTGAAAGGGCCTGAAGCCGGAGCGGGCGTTTCCGGCGTAGGAAGCCCGCGTGGGGCCACTCTAAATAAACACAGCCCTGTAGATAAGCAATGCCGCTGTCACACCCACACTGCAGTCCAGTGGGCCTGGGGGACAGGACTGGGCCTCTGAGCAAACAGACAGGGAAATGAAATGCTGGCAGATGAAAACCCAGAGACAGGAGGAAAGCGTACACGCGGTTGCTTTAAGGAGCATCTAACCAGGATGAACGAAACACGTTCATGGGGACCCTGAGGACAACGGCACCAAACACTGCCCAGCCCCCCCACTCTTCCCTACAGCTGCCCGCTCACATGCACTGTGCCCATCGCTGTCACAGACACACTGTGTCCATTGCTGTCACAGCAGATACACTGTGTCCATTGCTGTCACAGATACAGTGTGTCCATTGCTGTCACAGATAGTGTGTCCATCGGTCACAGCAGACACACTGTGTCCATTGCTGTCACAGCAGATACACTGTGTCCATCACTGCCAGAATCAGACACACTGTGTCCATCGCTGTCACAGCAGATACACTGTGTCCATCACTGCCAGAATCAGACATACTGTGTCCATCACTGTGACATCAGATACACTGTGTCCATCGCTGCCCATTCAGACAGTGTCCATCGCTGTCACAGATACACTGTGTCCATCACTGTCACATCAGATATACTGTGTCCATCACTGTCACAGCAGACACACTGTGTCCATCACTGCCACCTCACAAAGTGTCCATCACTTTCATAATTGGATACATTCTGTCCATCACTTTCATAATTGGATACATTCTGTCCATCGCCGCCACACTCGGATACACTGTATCCATCACCGCCACACTCGGATACACTGTGTCCATCGCCACCACACTCGGATACACTGTGGCAACCACTGCTCTATGCTCTTTCCCGGAGCACAGAGCCTTGGCTTTCTCCCTTGGAGTGGACAGTGTTTGGAACTGCTGGCCTTGCCCTTAGCAGCCCGAGGGGTAACCACGATGCCACCAGCACCCGTCCCCAGGGAGCAGTGGAGGTGAGGGGGCAGGTAAAGCTTCTGGGGAACCCACATCCATCCATGCAGGACTCCAAGAGAGGGTGAGCTGGAGCCTACGGAAGTC